GCCAGCCATAGCAGCCATTTGGGGGGTGAACCAATGGAAGGAAGACCTCTGTCTCTCTCACTGTCTAACTCTGCCTGTCAAAAAAAAAAAAAAAAAAAAAGTAAAAAAAAAAAATGAAGAAGACATGATTCATACTTTTCAAAAGTTACATCGAAGTGTCCAGCACAGGGTCAGACTTTCCAAGGAAACATTACATAATGAACAGTAAAAAGTAAGATACATGGAAAAGATCCGGAAATTACACCAAAACTAAAATTGTCAGATTACTACTTTGAACTAGTGATTTAAAGGAACAGATAGCCATAGTAAGTAACAGAAATTTCTACAGAGAAATAGAAACCATTAAAAAGGATCGAGAACCAAATAGAAGTTCTAGAATTAAAAAGTGTGGTAATAAAAAGAAAAATGACATGATGGGCTTCATGGCAAATTAGATTCAGTAGAAAAGAAATTATTGAACTTGAAGACAAGTCAGTAGCAACCATCCAAAATGAATCACAAAGAGAAAAATGATAAAATAGTCTCAGTGATCTGTGGTATATTGCCAAGAAATCCAATACACATGCAGTTGGAATCACAAAAGGAATGGAGAGAGAGATTGAGCAGAAAAAACTATCTGAATAAATAATTGTGGAAATTTTTCCAACTTTGATAGAAAACATAAGTTCATTGATCCATAAAGCCACAGAACTTGAAGTAGCATAATATGAAGGATAATGAACTGTCACATCAGATTTATTTTTCAGTTCTAGAATTTCCATTTGTTTCTCTCTGAAAACCAGGATAATGGATAAATAATTTTGGGTGTGTGTGTAGAGACCAACAAATAAAAAGGCATGAATCAGTGATAGATACAAGATCCACATGCCTTAAAGACCATACCCTGAGTAGAGGCGGACACACAAGTCTGTTCTGGGTTCCCTCATATGGACTTTAGGACAGGCAAAACTAACCTATAGCGATAGCCTCATCAGGCATGGAGGAGGAAGAAGGATTATTGAGAGGGTCTGGTGGAACTTTTGGGGACCGTGGAAGATGTTTGTATTTGCCAGGAATTCATCATCCTCTATACTTAGGATTTGTGTTTTTCTATGCATATAAATTGCACCTCAGTTTAAAAACCATTATTATACAGTTGGTACCTTTAGAACAACTCCCAAGAAGAAATAGAATGTCCAGAAGTTTTTTGTTTTCTTTCTATAAGTCTTTAAATCAAGGAGGATTTTGATGGCTTTTAAAATTATTTATTGATATGAAAGTCAGAGAGAGAGAGAGAGAGAGAAAGTCTTCCATCTGCTGGTTCACTCCCCAAATGTCCGCAGCAGCCAGCGCTGGGACAGGCCAAAGTCAGGAGCCAGGAAATTAATGGGTCTTCTATGTGAGTAAAGGACTTGGGCTGTCGTCTACTGCTTTTTCAGGTGCATTAGCAGGAAAAGGGAGCACCGGACTCAAGTCAGCACTATAGGGGATGCTGGTGGCTTACTGCACTGTGCCACAACAACCAGCCCCACTTTGCGGCTGTCTGTATCCTATAAGGCATGACTGAGGTATTTGTTTTACCAAAAATTTCTTTTGATTTACTTGGAAAATGTCTGAAGTTATTTTTATTTTTTTTTTAATTTATTTGACAGAGTTAGAAAGTGAAAGAGAGAGAGAGACAGAGAAAAAGGTCCTCCTTCCATTGGTTCACCCCCTAAATGGCCACTACAGCCAGAACTATGCCGATCTGAAGCCAGGAGCCAGGTGCTTCCTCCTGGTCTCACATGTGGGTGCAGGGGTCCAAGCACTCAGGCCATCCTCCACTGCCTTCCCAGGCCACAGCAGATAGCTGGACTGGAAGAGGAGCAAGCGGGACTAGAACCCGGCACCCATATGGGATGCTGGCGACACAGGTGGAGGATTAACCAAGTGAGCCACGGCGCTAGTCCCCTGAAGTTATTTTTAAATACCAGCTTTATAATCTACATTATTCTTGTACCTCCTAGGTAAAAATGGATTAATTTTTAAAATTTTCCTTCTCCATGTGCTAAGAATAATAGAGTAGAATTGAGACACATTTCCTTGTTCTTTCTAATGGCCTAAGCCAGTGGGATGGGATCTGCTGTGCCAGTGGGCACAAGGGTTGAGCCTGGAGAGTCCTCCTGTTAACCAGAGGTAAGGCAGGGCCTGACCCAGATGAAAAGGGATAATAAGGGGTGGTGGGAGTTCTTTGAAGTTCTGTTCTGACTGAATTTTATTCTCAGTGAAATGGTGAGCAAGATTGAGTGTAAGGGGAGGGGAGGAAGGTGGTGGCTTGAGGAGAGTGAAGAAGGTGTGAATTAGTCATCCAACAGAATGGGAGAGTGGGTACACTAGGGAAACATAAAGAATTCAAGGTTGCATCGAGCCGTTTGAGGTTCATGGTGGTGAAAACAACAACTGGAACAGTCTTCATCTGGGAGCAGGCAGGCATGGTGGATTCAGTTATGTTTGTAATTTTTCCAACTGAGTTCAAAGAATCAAGAGAACATAGGATTGAGGATGTATAAAAAGACTCATTACAATGATGATTAATTATATGATAAGACTTAACAGAGGTTACCATCACTGATCCTGCTGCTGCTGCTGCTGCTGTGACCATCATTTTATCGGAGATGTGACTATTAGTCAGACTTTCATTGCTACAACCAAAATATCTGAGGAAATACTTAAGAAGGAAGAAGGCTTATTTTTGCTTACAGTGTTGGAGGTTCACAGTCCAAGATCAGGCAGACCATTAGTCTGGTGTCTGATGAGAGCAGAACAAAATCAAGGTGTGGATCACAGGGAAAGTCAGGAAGCAGAGAGAACAGCTAGGCCAAACATGGCTTTAACAACCAACCCTCTCCTGGAAGCCACCTTCCGAGGGCAGCTCCCAATGACCTAAGGCCCAGTTCTCAGAAACCATAATGGGATCGAGCCTCCACCCTTAATCCATAAACCATTAACATCAGACCATGGGGACCAAGAGCCCAACACGTAGGTCTTTAGAGGATACTCAGACTTTTATACAAACCGGAAGAGTGACCATCACGGGTCACAACTGAGGAACACAAGAACCATAGCCTCCTTTGGTTTTCTGTATCTTAACATTTTAAACCTCATTTCTAGGTAGAAACACAATTCTGCCAATCCATGAGTCCCCACTATGCCCCACACGAGCCTGCCCCTACCTCAGCCCTGCACTGCGCCCCACACGAGCCTGCCCCTACCTCAGCTCTGCACTGTGTCCCACATGAGCCTGCCCCTACCTCAGCTCTGCACTGTGTCCCACATGAGCCTGCCCCTACCTCAGCCCTCCATTGTGCATTACAGGAGCCTGCCCCTGCCTCAGCCCTGCCCTGTGCCCTACACGAGCCTGCCCCTACCTCAGCCCTGCACTGTGCCCTACACGAGCCTGCCCCTACCTCAGCCCTGCCCTGTGCCCCACATGATTCTGCCCCTACCTCAGCCCTGCACTGAGCCCTACAGGATCCTGCCCCAACCTCAGCCCTGCACTGTGCCCCACACAAGCCTGCCCCTACCTCAGCCCTGCACTGAGCCCTACAGGATCCTGCCCCAACCTCAGCCCTGCACTGTGCCGCACACAAGCCTGTCCCTACCTCAGCCTTGCACTGCGCCCCACACGAGCCTGCCCCTACTTCTTGGAGGCCAGGGCTGTGTTTATATCTGTGGACCTCAGGCTCAGACACTCATTGAGTCAATAAGCAAGCATAGATAGGAAATTTTTACTTGGAAATGGGGGCAGGGGAATAGGGCTCAGTAGCTGTAAAGCACAGGGACCTTTTTCCTGAAAGGACTATAAAAAGCATTTCCAATGGAAACTTTAAAATTAAACTTCTCACAGATGCGGGGCTGACGGGGCGGGTCCTGGTGCAGGGGGCCCTGAGAAGAGCAGGACAACGCGAATCCTTTTCCTCTGGATTGTAGCATCTCCAGCCGTCTGGTCTTCTCTCCGGGAAGAGGGGAGCTGAGGGTGCAGACGACCGTCTGTCATTGCTGTTCAGGTTACAGGGCTCAGGACTGACCCAAGTTGCAGCAAGCTGGAGTTGACTTGCCCAGCTGCCTGGGGCAGAGGCTCTCTGTCTACAGAGCTGGTGTGAGCTCTGGGAAACCAGACCAGCTGGGGATCTGTGTGGGGGCGCTCACACTAAGAGCAGGCGCTGTGGATGCCTCAGCCTGGACCCCGGCCCTCAGGAGCTCCACAGACCTGGAGCCACAGGCAAGTTCGTGGCAGGTCTCACTGACGCCCTTCTCTGCCTCTCCCCAGGCCCTCAATGGCTTCCTCATGGCAGTGACTGAAGACGGCTGTGTCTTCTACGTCTCCCCCACAGTCCAGGATTACCTGGGGTTTCACCAAGTGAGTCATCTTTGTTGCTTCAGGGCCTGCTGTGAGCCGTGTGGGGTCTTCTCTGGGGCTGTCACAGAAAGCTGGGTCTCACCTCAGTGCCTGTGCACACACTCTGTGTGACTGATGCAAAGCTTCCCCCGGCTCTGAGAGGCAGACAACAAGGCTGCCCAGGCCCCACGCAGAGGCAGCAGGGGCAGCTGCCTCTCTTCAGTGCAGCAGGCTCCTAACGCCCATGTCCTTGTGGCAGGGACTGCAGGGGCAATTAAGTACAGGAAGCATGAAGAAGAATATGATTTACTGGGGATGGAGAACTCAACTGCACAGAATTCCTCCAAGAAGATGCAGGTAGAGCAGGATGAAACTGCTCACTAACGGCAGGCAAGGGCAGGAAACTCATGTTTCGTTCAACCCTTCTAATGTACAACCCCCTACCCAGACTTCTCAAGGCAAAGTGGCTTGAAAGGAGTTTAACAAATGCTTTATGCATAAAGTATCCACAAAATCCAAATGAGGACAGAATGCATTAGTTCTTGGTTGTGCTCAAGTCACTACTGAGGTAGCCTAGTTCCTTCAAGATTACAGGGGGACCGGCGCCACGGCTCACTAGGCTAATCCTCCACCTGGCAGCGCCAGCACACCGGGTTCTAGTCCCGGTCCGGGCGCCGGATTCTGTCCCGGTTGCCCCTCTTCCAGGCCAGCTCTCTGCTGTGGCCAGGGAGTGCAGTGGAGGATGACCCAGGTCCTTGGGTCCTGCACCCCATGGGAGACCAGGAGAAGTACCTGGCTCCTGTCTTCGGGTCAGCGCCGTATGCCGGCCGCAGCGCGCTGGCAGCGGTGGCCATTGGAGGGTGAACCAACAGCAAATTCTCTGTCTCTCTCTCACTGTCCACTCTGCCTGTCAAAAAAAAAAAAAAAAATTAAAACAAACAAACAAACAAAAAAGATTACAGGGAAAAATACCTCTTTCAACAGATAACAGATTGAACTTGGATCTCCTTGGAAATGAGCATTTTGCTCTAATTGAATTAAATCTTATTGTCAGAACAGCTGATGCCTGGCTTCCAGGAACATCTTTCTTCCCACATCCTTCTTCCTCAGAGCTTCAAGCCAACTCTTAGGCTACTCCAATGGCTTCCTAAGGGTGTCTCCCATCTCAGACTGAAGATTTGTGATTTATCTCCTGGGAAGTTGCTCCTCCCTCCCCTGTACTCGAGAGGGCCACCCATTGTATTACAAAAGAGTCAAATAAGCCCAGAGGGGAATCAGGAGCACAGTGAAGCAGACAGCACCTAGGCTGGAGAGGGACTGGGCACAGGAGGCCAGGAGGCCTGGTCACCAGAAGAGAGGTCAGAGGAGCTGGACTGGCCACGACATATAAGATGAATGGGCCACACTAGCCTCTGGAGGGTAGGAAGCAGCCTGGAGTAAGACACAGTCCCTTGGTCTTTGCAGTCAGACATCATCTATCAGAGTGTGTATGAGCTGATCCACAAGGAAGACAGAGCCGTGTTCCAGAGCCAGTTCCGCTGGCATCCAGACCCAGCACCTGTCAGCAGAGCAGCGGAGCAGGACACCAGCTGTAAGTCGCCAGTGCTTGGAGGGGAAAGGGGGAACATGGAATCAATCCTGTGTGTGTGTGTTTTGACCTTCTCAGTCCATGATGAGGAAATTAGGCCTGGCAGTGAGGCTTTCTCCATTCAAATGTCTGCTCCAGTAAGCACTAAGGGAGCACTCTTGGCTTCCAAGCCTGTGAGGGGAAGGCAGGAGGACTGTGCATCAGGATCAGGGCTCCTGTCTTAGAACCCTCTCGTTTCTCTGACCTCATCTGACCATCCTCAATCCTCATGCGGCACGAATTTCTGTTGTTTTTACTACCAGTAGGATGCAGGGATCTTTGAGTGTCTTGTTCACTGATAATCGCCAGTGGCCAGGACAGTACCTGAGAGAAAATGAGCACTCAGTAAATATTAGTGTCTTGAATGAATGAATGGATGGATGAATGTGCAGATGACAAGACTGAGATTTCCCTGGTGGATCCAGCTGGTGAGTGGAAGGACTCTCACCGGGGGAGAGACCTTGCTGCTCACGTGGAGGCATTCCCAACCACATCTGCCTAGCTGGTGAGTGCACGAGAGGGGTTCTCATCGTGGGCTGGGCGATGCTGAGTAACCAGAGACAAAAGGCAGTCTGTCATTTTCAGGTAAATGCCACTGTGTTAGCCCAGACACAGGCCCCTCTCCAAGGATTTAGAGTGCGTTGAATGCACCCACACAGATGTGGGGAAAGGCTCTTCTCTGTTTTGTTGTAATGATCAGAAAAGAGTGAAATACTCCCCAAATAGAGGTTTGAGCTAGAAAAATGCAGCTGTGTGCCAATATTGACACACTAATATATTTTTTTAGTAGGAAGCCTAAAATATTAAATAAAAATAAACTTACAAGACCAGCTGTAAGAATTGGTTGTGTAACTTCTCAAGACTTTTAGTTCTGACCAACTTTGGCTGCATGATGATTTTAGCCATCTTTCTCCAAACCTGCTTTCTTTCCAGATGGCCACCCATGACTCGACCTGTCAGCTGCCATCCCAGCTGGGTAACATCACTTCTCGGGAGATGTCTCTCTGCTTCCCTGTCCTTTCCCGTCAGATTATCAGCCCCTTGAAGTGAGGAGCTTTCTCAGCACTGAACTTTGCTCCTCTGTTCTCACCCTGTCCCTGATGACTGACCAGGCACCAGAGAAGGAGCAGAGGTCACAGTCCAGCCTGAGCTGTGGCCCTGTGTGGGGCTCTGCTGAGAAACAGCCTCAGAGTGGGGTGGGGATCTTTCTAAAGCTCCCAGGTAGTCCCAGCCAAGGCACAATGTCAGCAAAGCAGATCCTCAACTGTCACCTGGTCCTGCACTGTTTGCCCCTAACCCGATGGTTCCTTACATTTATTCATTTCTTTTTTTATATATAATTTTTTTTTTGGACAGGCAGAGTGGATGGATAGTGAGAGAGAGAGACAGAGAGAAAGGTCTTCCTTTTGCTATTGGTTCACCCTCCAATGGCCGCCACAGCTGGCGCGCTGCGGCCGGCGCAGCGCGCTGATCCGAAGGCAGAAGCCAGGTGCTTTTCCTGGTCTCACATGGGTGCAGGGCCCAAGCACTTGGGCCATCCTCCACTGCCTTCCTGGGCCACAGCAGAGAGCTGGCCTGGAAGAGGGGCGACCGGGACAGAATCCGGCACCGGGACTAGAACCCGGTGTGCCGGCGCCGCCAGGTGGAGGATTAGCCTATTGAGCCGCGGTGCTGGCCCATTTATTCATTTCTTAAAGAAGCTAGTGACTCCCTAGTTTAATTGTATTTTATACACAAATCTAAAATATTTGAGAATACCTTAAAAAATGGTCAATGGTAATGCTATGTAGATTTTTTGCTTATTATGTTGAATAGATATGCACTAATATTTCTTGCCATTTGTTCAAAATGCCAATAACATTCAAAATTATCTCACTTTGGGCTGGTGTTGTGGCACAGTGAGTTAAGCTACCACATGTGGTGCTGGTATTCCATATCAGAGCACCAGTTTGAGTCCCAGCTGCTCTGCTCCTATCCAGCTTTCGGCTAATGTGCCTAGAGGAAGCAGCAGAAGATAGGCAAGTACCCCTGTCACCTACATGAGAAATCCTGATGGAGTTCCAGGCTCCTGGGTTAGATTTGGCCCAACCCCACCTGTTGTGGTCATCTGGGGAGTGAACCAGCAGAAAGAAGATCTTCCTCTGTCTTTGTCTCTACCTCTTCCTGTCACTATGCTTTTCAAACAAATAATTAAAAATGAATCTTTAAAATAAAGAAATTGGGGCTGGCGCTGTGGCATAGTGGGTAAAGCCTCCACGTGCAATCCAGCGTCCCATATTTGCCAGTTTGAGTCCTGGCTGCTCCACTTCTGATCCAGCTCTCTGCTATGGCTTGGGGAAGCAGTGGAAGATGGCTCATGTTCTTGGGCCCCTGCACCCACGTGGGAGACCTGAAAGAAGCCCCTGGCTCCTAGCTTCGGACTGGCCCAACTCCAGCCGTTGTGGCCAACTGGGGAGTGAACATGTGGATGGAAGATCTTGCTCCCTGTCTCTGCCTCTGCCTCTCTGTAACTCTGCCTTTCAAATAAATAAAGAAGATAAAAAAATTACCTCACTTTATTTATAGCATGATGGAAGATGGAATAATACCATCCAAAATAATTTTTAGTGTATTTCTATCACTTTTATTTATGCCTTGTGTTATATGGAAGGTATGAATAACAATCTTTGGTGTAGTGTGTCCTGTAGTGAATTTAAAATGCACCATTATAACCCTTACTTTCACTTTCTTGGAATTTTCTATATTTTGTCTCAATCCTCAAATAAAATATTGATTGGAAATGCCATGCTCATTTAGAAAGAGTATCCTAAATTTTAAGCCGTAGTCACGATATCTATATGTGTGAATGTCACAGTGAGCAATAGACTTTTTTTTTTAAAGATTTTATTTATTTGAAAGACAGAGTTACAGAGAGAAGTAGAGACAGAGAGAGTGGTCTTCCATCTGCTGGTTCACTCCCTAGATGGCCGCAATGGCCAGAGCTGCGCTGATCTGAAGCCAGGAATCAGGAGCTTCCTCCTGGTCTCCCACGTGGGTGCAGGGGCCCAAGGACTTGGGCCATCTCCTACTGCTATCCCAGGCCATAGCAGAGCTGGATCGGAAGCGGAGCAGCTGGGAAGAGAACCAGCGCCCATATGGGAGGCCTATGCTGCAAGCATCAGCTTTAACCTGCTGCACCACAGCACCAGCCCTGAGCAATACACTTTTGTGTGCTTTATGAAACTGGCAAGTTGAAATTAAGTATGCCCTGTTGTCCATAACAATGTAAACTCTAAAATATCGTTTAAAATTTCATGGTTTTTAATTCTTGTATACATTTATACTCCCACAGAAGCAGAACCCATGACATTATCTGCTTACATATTTATAAATACATGACAATTTTCTTCAAAATATAAGTAAAATCTTAACAACAGTGCTATAAATATGCCAGAAAATGTCTAAATATCACCCTACCTAAACCAAACTCAAGTTGATGTTTGCTTTATACATGGGTGTAGATGATATGTTCTAACAGTTATGGAGGGTGTGTGCCAGCCACTGTACTGGAGGCTGTATTAAATGAGATTAAGGAACGGCAGCAGAACTTGTAAATTCATACTTGGATTAAGCCCTTCTCTTCATTCTTCCCTTTAAAACTTATAGGGTTGCTAAATTATTCCAAACCTGACTCCCATTTTAGTCCTCCAAAGAATTTAAGTCTAGACAAATCAGATTTTCATGTGACACATGGGAAGCCATTTGGCATAAGCATTATGATTTGTCAGGTTGAGAATAGAGCAAAATAGAACATAATTGGCTTTTGCACCTTTAGACATACTAATGAAGCATGGATAACACTTTATTTTTAACCCAAGAGTTTAGCTTTCTTCCTACTACTGTCTGAGAGGACTTTCCTGCAAATTCCCGGTGTGGGAAAGGAGGAGATTGAACCAGGACCCCAAGAAATGGGAGAACAGCATTCACCACAAAAGTGCTTTCTCCTGGGAGACCATCTGGTCACTTTTCTGTGTATGGTTTTCTTTCCCTGCCAATGTGACATTATACACCCACTGTAGAAAGCGAGAATGAGAAAATCGTCATTTCTATCCAACTTAGTTCAGTTCAGTCTTCCATTTAATTGGTGTCTGCTGAGCACCCAGTATGTTCTTTTTTTAAAAAAAAAAATGTATTTATTTGAAAGGCAGAGCTACAGAGTGGCAGAGGCGGGTGGGGGGGTGTCTTCCATCCACTGATTCACTCCCCCATATGGTTGCAACAGTCGGAGCTGCACCAGTCTGAAGCCAAAAGCCAGGAGCTTCTTCCAGGTGTACCACACAGGTGTAGGGGCCCAAGGACTTGGGCCATCTTCCACTGCTTTTCCAGGCCATAGCAGAGAGCTGGATCAGAAGTGGAGCAGCCGGGACTCAAACTGACACCCACGTGGGATGCTGGCACTGCAGGCAGCGGCTTTACTCACTACACCAAAGCACCAGCCCTGAGTACCCATTATGTTCTAGGGATAGAGTATTGAGCAAAGGAGACAAAATTCCTATTTGATAGTTCTTAAATTTTACTGGGGTAAGAGGCCCTCCCCCAAAGGAATAAATATATAATAAGTCAAGGTGTAGATTATTTACTTATTGTGGCCTCTTGCCGCAGTCAAAAGTTAAAAAAGATGTGTGAGGCTGTTGCCAACATAACTCGGCATGCTGTTGTACAATAAGCTTTAAGTGACAGCACACAACTCTTGCTGTGCATCATTTTTATATTGATCCTCATGGCACCATGAAGGCAGGCAGGCAGGCCTGTTGGCAGCATTTCATGAATTAGAAAGCCAGCCTAAGTGAGCCTAAGTGACTGATCAAGGTCGTCCTGCCAGTGAAGGACAAAGTTCACTTGGAGACAGGGCTTACAACCCTGCATTTTCTCCACCCACCAGTGGCTCCCAGAGCTGTAGACATTTCCGCCCTGTAAGGTAATGGTTCTGGTGACATATCCTCAGTCTGTCTTTGTCCTTCCAGCTTTGCCTGGACAGAGGTTTCTCCCACTTGCCGGCACCCCCACTGACAACATGCAGCATCCTCCCCTGGAGAACTCCTCCTGTCTGGAGAGAAGCTTTGTCTGCCGATTCCGCTGCCTTCTGGACAATTCTTCCGGGTTTCTGGTAATCACACAGCCTTTAGAGGGGCAGGAATTTCCTGAACTAGGTATGACTCTGCTTAGGATTGGGCTAGGCCTCCTCACCACCATTGGAAAGATCTTCAGGCCTTCAGCTCACTGCCATTCCAGAGGATTGGCCTGTTGAAGACAAGAGTTGTCTTTTGAATCTTCTTCTGCCTACTTAAGACTTGGAATATGTTTACTTGAGATTTATTACACCTGTTACTTCTGGTTCAGCCATAACTAGGAGTCCTAGGTGAACTGAGGATGTTAACATCTATCTTCTTCACCGTCACCTGCAGCTCAACTAATGCTGTGCTGTGCAGGTCTATGGAAAGGGCTATGTAGGTTAGGGCTCAATAAAGGGCTAAGATGCCATGAAGAATGACCAGGGCAGAACAGAAGAGTGAGGTGGCTCGAGGTCTGTGCATACTTGTGCTGCAGAGTGGGAGAGGGGGAGAATTCAACCGTAGACTGGGCACCACTTAATTGCATAAGGGAGAAGTTGTATCTAATGTTTTAGCTACTTAACATCCTCTTTTCTCTGTTGATTATGTTTGGGGTCTTCTTTTTCCAGGAATTGAATTTTCAGGGCCATCTTAAATTCCTCCCTGGGCAGAACAAGTCAGAGAATGACGTCCTCTCGTCTCCTCAGCTCACCCTGTTTGCTGTTGCAACACCTCATCAGCCTCTCACCATCCTGGAGCTCCAAAATAAACCATTTCTTTTCCAAACAAAACACAAATTGGATTTCACACCTATAGCCTGTGATTCCAGGTATACCCCTTTGACCAGACACCCTGACTCCTAGGGACACAATAGTGCTCCAAGACCAGTTTTGGCTCGAATCCTGACAAGAACAGTTGGCCAATACTGTCCAGATGGGCTGTGTGAAATGAGCAGGAAGCACACTGTTTATAGGTGCAATATACCAAAATTTCCAAGTCAGATATAGTGTCTGGGATAGAGTGTGATGCAGATGACAAATCCTAGGAATTGCTTGTCTCCCTTTTGGAGACTTCCATTAACATCCTAGTGAAGCCCCACAAAGTCCCAATATGAAGAAATGTCTGAACCCCCCCCCCCTTTTTTTTTAAAGATTTATTTTATTTATGTATTTGAAAAGCAGAGTTACAGAGAGACAGAGAGACACACACACACACACAGAGGTCTTCCATCCACTGGTTCACTCCCCAGATGGCTGCAATGGCTAGAGCTGAGCCAATCTGAAGCCAGGAGCCAGGAGCTTCTTCCAGGTATCTCACATGGGTGCAGGGGCCCAAGGACTTGGGCCATCTTCTACTGCTTTCCCAGGCCATTAACAGTGAGCTGGATCAGAAGTGGAGCAGCCAGGACTCAAACCAGTGCCCATATGGAGTGCCTTCACTGCAGGTAGCAGCTTTACCTGCTATGCCACTTATTTCCAAACTTATCTAGCAGTAAAACCTTTCATGGAGGAAACATAAATTAACATGTTACAGTATCAATGTTTTGTTTTTTAAGATTTATTTATTTTTATTTGAAAGGCAGAGTTACAGAGAGGCAGAAGCAGAGAGAGAGGAAGAGTGAGTCTTCTATCCCCTGGTTCGCTCCCCAAAAGGCTGCAACAGCTGGAGCTGCATAGATCCGAAGCCAGGAGCCTGAAGCCAGGGGTTCAGGGGCCCAAGGACTTGGGCCATCTTCCACTGCTTTCCCAGGCCATAGCAGAGAGCTGGATCAGAAGTAGAATAGCCAGGATTCTAACCAGCGCCAATATTGATTGCCGGCACTGCAGGCGGCAGCTTTACCCGCCTATGCCACAACAGCGACCCCAGTATCAGTGTTTCTTAGAATATAGTCTAGAAAATACCAGTTTAATAGCAAGTGATCCAATATACTGTTTTTATTTTTAAGATTTATTTTATTTATTTGAAAGAGTTACAGAGAGAGAGAGAGAGAGAGGTGTTCCATCTGTTGGTTCACTCCCCAGTTGGCCACAACGCCTGGAGCTGCGCTGATCCAAAGCCAGGAGCTTCTTCTGGGTCTCCCACGCGGGTGCAGGGGCCCAAGGACTTGGGCCATCTTCTACTGCTATTCCATGCAATAGCAGAGAGCTGGATTGGAAGAGGAGCAGCCAGGTCTCGAACCAGCACCCATATGGGATGCCAGTGCTTCAGGCCAGGGCGTTAACCCACTGTGCCACAGCGCCAGCCCCTAATATACTGTTACTTGAATGGCTTTCGAGGTTCACCTTTTCCTGTAAGAGACTGTTCCTTCCTGTGTTTGGGAGAACTGGAATCCTGTGACAAAAGGTGCTCTCTCACAAGCACAATTTTGTATCGCGTTTCAGACTGTCTATACCCCAGGGAAAAACTCCGGTTCCACAGTACAGGCAAATAAACACAGGCTTAAGGCCGAGTTTCAAACTGACTACATGTATGGCATCAGTGGCGGGGTGCTCAGTGTGGTGTCCCCTAAGTATCTTGTCCCAGCCTTGCTCGTGTGAGAGCGGCGCTTTCTAGACCTGCAGTGGCCAGAGGAGGCACACTTGAGTCCAGAACGGCACCCGACGGTGGGCTCAGGGGTAAAAGTCCTGCTTCAGGGATGGTCCTGGGGCAGGGTCCTGACTGTGGGGTGGGGCGGGGCGCCTCCTTTCTGCGGATTTTCTGCTGTGGAGTTAAAGGATAAGGTGCGGTGTGTTGTCTACGCAGAGGAAAGGTGATCCTGGGCTACACGGAGAGTGAGCTCTGCAGGAAGGGGTCGGGCTACCAGTTCATCCACGCTGCGGACATGATGTACTGCGCGGAGAACCACGTGCGGAGTGAGTTCAGGAGGCACCCTGGGCCCCCGCAGCCCCCGGGAGGCGGAGGAGGGCTCGCTTCACACAGCCCCTCTGGTTCTCACCTCGCCCGCCCCCGGGGGGAAGCCTCCCCCGCCCGCCTCCCCACCCCGCCCCCGCTGAGGGCGGCCAGGCTTCCCCGCGAGCCCCGCCCCCGCCCCTGTCTCCACAGTGATGAGAACCGGCGAGAGCGGCCTCACGGTGTTCAGGCTGCTCACCAAGCGCGCCGGCTGGCTGTGGGTGCAGTCCAACGCGCGCCTCGTGTTCCGCGGCGGCCAGCCAGACTGCATCGTGGCCCGGCAGCGGGCGCTGACGTAAGTGAGGGGCCGTGTAGTGAACAAGGCCCGGATGAGGCCGTGACGTAAGTGAGGGAGGGGCCGGTCCTGAGGAGGGCGCTGTCACAGGTGAGGCCCTGAGGTGAGGGAGGGGCCGTGTCCTGAACAAGGCCCGGATGAGGCCCTGACGTGAGGGAGGGGCCGTGTCCTGAACAAGGCCCGGGTGAGGCCCTGACGTGAGGGAGGGGTCGGTCCTGAGGGGGGCGCTGTCACAGGTGAGGCCCTGACGTGAGGGAGGGAGGGGCCGTGTCCTGAACAAGGCCCGGATGAGGCCCTGACGTAAGGGAGGGAGGGGTCGGTCCTGAGGAGGGCGCTGTCACAGGTGAGGCCCTGACGTGAGGGAGGGGCTGTGTCCTGTACAAGGCCCAGATGAGGCCCTGAGGTGAGGGAGGGGCCGGTCCTGAGGAGGGCGCTGTCACAGGTGAGGCCCTGAGGTGAGGGAGGAGCCGTGTCCTGAAGAAGGCCCGGATGAGGCCCTGACGTGAGGGAGGGGCCCGGTCCTGAGGAGGGCGCTGTCACAGGTGAGGCCCCGAGGTGAGGGAGGGGTCGGTCCTGAGGAGGACGCTGTCACAGGTGAGGCCCTGAGGTGAGGGAGGGGCCGTGTCCTGAACAAGGCCCGGATGAGGCCCTGACGTGAGGGAGGGGCCCGGTCCTGAGGAGGGCGCTGTCACAGGTGAGGCCCTGAGGTGAGGGAGGAGCCGTGTCCTGAAGAAGGCCCGGATGAGGCCCTGACGTGAGGGAGGGGCCCGGTCCTGAGGAGGGCGCTGTCACAGGTGAGGCCCTGACGTGAGGGAGGGAGGGGCCGTGTCCTGAACAAGGCCCGGATGAGGCCCTGAGGTGAGGGAGGGGCCGTGTCCTGAACAAGGCCCGGATGAGGCCCTGACGTGAGGGAGGGGCCCGGTCCTGAGGAGGGCGCTGTCACAGGTGAGGCCCCGAGGTGAGGGAGGGGTCGGTCCTGAGGAGGACGCTGTCACAGGTGAGGCCCTGAGGTGAGGGAGGGGCCGTGTCCTGAACAAGGCCCGGATGAGGCCCTGACGTGAGGGAGGGGCTGTGTCCTGAGGGGGGCGCTGTCACAGGTGAGGCCCCGAGGTGCGGGCGATGGGCGGTGAGGACCCTGCCTGACTGAGGGGTCCAGGTAAGTGAGGGGTAATCGGAAGCAGGGTCAGCGTCTCCGCTGGGGGACGCAAGGGGACTGCGTGCTGGAGGTGTCACCAGGTATGGGCCCCCTGCGGGCGGAAGTTGCTCAGAGGATCGTTTATTCACGCGTGGAGATGGAGGAGCCTGGGAAGCCGTGGTTCCTGCAGAAGCCGCTCCCTGAGAAGCGGTTTGCTGGGAGGGGGAGGTGTCTAGGCCGCGGAGAGGGAGCAGCGCGGCCTTTCCTGCGGCACCGTGCGTGCTGCTCGGATTGTGTTCAGCGGTTTCAGTCGATCCCAGCAGCTCAAGAGAGTACATTTCAGCTTCTCTGTCCATGCGGCGGAGCCTTCATCTTACTGAATCCTACACGCTTGTTTACACCCCACACTCCTGGGTGAAGCCACCAGTCCAGGAGTCCCTGCAGGTGCAGCAGGCCTGAGTGGGGGCCTCCTCTCCAGCCGTTAGTCCCCAAGCCCCCACTTTCTCTGACTGTGGAGTAGGGAGAGTACTCCTGCAGGGACCATTGTGAGGGGTGAGGAAGCAGACCAGCTAAGTCAGCCTTTTCCATACTTGGCCAGCAGAGTCGCACGAGAGCCTGCACGTGGCCTTAGTTTTCTGTGTGCAAGCCTCGGGTCTCTGCTTTGTGCTTAGTCCAAGCATGCGCACACACACCATGTCTTCCCCACAGTGAGCTTTGCTTCTGCAACCCCAGGTGGGAATCCTCTCAGCTTCCTGGCTCACCGATTCTCATCCTCATTGTAGAAAATTGTCAGGCCTGGACCTAAGTAGCTGTTAGCATTGAGGCCCTGGATACCAATTGTGGGGAATTTGTTACTCTGTCCAGAATTCAGTTACTGAATCTAGACTCTTCCATCAACCATATTCAGAAGAAGTTACTGTCTTCCATTGCTTTCTGCAGAAATCTGGCTGTGTGTCTCTCCTAAGGAATGGCATTCCTTCAACCCATCTTCTTCATTTGCTCACATACTCCTGCTGTGAATTTGTGCCATGTGGCCTTTTGGGAAAAGGAATCAGAGTGTCACTCTGTAGGCTTTTCCCAGTACCTCTGTTTTGCCTTGCAAAAATGAAAGTGCTCTCCTGTCTCTTCCTGGGTAACACAGGGCACTGACCATTTACTTCCAGAATCAGGATTTCCTGTTTAACCTTTCATGCCCTCTTCCTTAACAGTCTGTAACATACTTTGAAAACTGAAGCAGGTAGATAAATGGAAAACTGCTTTTTACCTTGTTCTTTTTACCTTGCCCAGCTCTCATATGAATCTGTGGCATGCCTGTATTAAATGGACAGTCAGGATTGGAGACTGAGGGTATGACAAGCCCAGAAAGGTATCTGGCCCAGTTCTCATTTAGTGCCATGCTCTGAACAGTGACTAGAACGCCCAAATGTGCCACACATAAAATCAGCCTTTAATCTTGCTGAGTAATATCTAGATCATGGAAAAATTACAGAACTGTGTCAGCTAACTTGGATTCTGCATATGATTCCACCTGGCTTCAAAAAAGCACCTTATAATATGCCTCAGTTTACTGCCTTTCAAAAATGTGAGGGCTTTAATATTCAGTTTCTTCTTATCAGTTCTACTATTATGTGGACTTATTAAGCAAGAGATCCAGAAATCAGTGGTTTTTTTTGGGTAATGTTTGTTTAATTGAGTGTAGAAGTAATAATGGCTATTATAGAAAATTTGCAAAATAAAAAGATTGCAACAGCAAATTATTTATTTATGTTAAAGATTTATTTATTTATTTGAGAGAAAGAGAGAGAGAGATCATCCACCACTGGTTCACTTCCCAGATGGCTTCAATGGCTGGAGCTGGGCCGATCTGAAGCCAAGAGCCAGGAGCTTTTTCTGGGTATCCCACACGAGTGTATGGGCCCAAGGACTTGGGCCATCTTCTACTGCTTTCCCAGGCCATAACAGAGAGCTGAATTGGAAATGAAGCAGCTGGGACTTGAACCAGCACCCATATGGTATGCTGGCTCTGCAGGTGGTGGCTTTACCTGCTATGCCGCAGCACCACCCCCTACAGCAGCAAAATAAAAACTAGCTATTTTCCTAAACTCAGAAAATTATCAAAATACTGTTATATTTCCTTCTAGTATGTTTTGAAGCATTTAAATTTTATACTTGTAATTATATAAGCTTTTATATCTTGCTTTTTCCACATAATAAGAGCATTTTCACATTATCAAAAGTATCCATAAATACCTTTATGACTGCTCCTATATTTATATGCTGTGGCCTTTGATTACATATTGAAACGTGGTAGGGGGGTTTCCCCATGGTTATGAAGACATTGAGATGAACAGATACTTTTATCTGTCCTGATTTCCCTAGATAAAGTATCAACAATAGATTTTTAGATGAAAGGATTAAAATATTTCAAAGTTCTTTGATACTATAGTCATACTGTTCTCCAGAGAGGTTGTACCAAGTTCTCTGGTCAGAATTAACGCAAAACAAACTAGCACTGATTTGTCCCAACACTAGATAGGGCAAAGAAGTTGTCAAGAAACAGACCTAGGTAACTGTATTGAAAATTAGTCACTAAATTAAAGAGGTATTTCAAGTCCATGAGGACAGAACAAGGCAATAAATGAGACTAGGATAACAGATTAGCCATTTGGAAGGTGAAGAAAGTTAAATCTCCACCTTTTACCTTTTATTATGAAAACATATCCAGATATAGTGTTCTTGTTAAATTTCCATGGAACAGTCCCGCTACCGGCAATGGTAGTTACTCTGCATTAACCATTTCATAAGTAACAGCTATAACTAAAACTTCTGAACAAAATATTATTTTTTCAAAAAGATGCCTTGGAGAGTTGAAGCTTGATAGAAAGAAATATCACTGGGAGAAGTTCATGGTTTTTACTTCTTTTGGTTTAAGAGTAGTCTACACTTGGTGCTGGGTAGCTAAAAACTCAGATACAAAACTGATAGTCTTAATAACTCAGGAATCAGCAGGCAGAGATTGGAGTGACTGCACTAGCAATGAAGTGAAGAAGTGAAAGCTAGAAAGGAGAAATACAGAGAAAATGAGACCTCAAATTTCTGTGGATTAACTCAGTCCAAATTTCTGTTGACCCCTGACCCATGTATGTATAGGACTTCAGTTAGACAATAAAAGACAAAACCGAATAGAGATTTCACTAGTTGCCACTGCAAGGGGAACATAGCTCACATTTTCAGTGCGGTCAGGTAAATAAAACAAAATCAGAATCTTTGGAGTAATGTAATAGAGTACAAAATCTACAGTGTAGGAGGCACTGTGGCTCACTTGGTTAATCCTCCACCTGCAGTGTCGGCATCCAATATGGGCGCGGGCTCTTGTTCCCGTTGCTCCTCTTCCATTCCAGCTCTCTGCTGTGGCCCGGGAGGGCAGTGGAGGATGGCCCAAGTGCTTGGGCCCCTGCATCTGCATGGGAGACCAGGAAGAAGCACCTGGCTCCTGGCTTCGGATCGGCACAGCGCTGGCCGTAGCAGCCATTTGGAGAGTGAACCAACGGAATTGAAGACCTTTCTCTCTCTCTCTCTCTGTCTATAACTCTACCTGTCAAATTAAAAAAAAAATCTACAGTGTATCATCAGAATGTTCAATGTAAAATCCAAAAATAATTGACATATGAAGAAGCAGGAAAGAATGTCTCAAAAGAAGAGGAAATCATTGGAGGCAACCCTAAGATGACCCAGATATTAGATAAGAATTTTATATAAACTATTACAATTATACTCCTAAAGGAAAATATACTTGTTATGAGTGAAAAGATAAATCTCAGCAGAAAAACAAACTAAAAAGACTTGGAACAATATTTAAAATAAT